CGGAGACGTCTCTGGCCAGGAGAGCTGAACCCAGGGGCAGTGGGGATGCCGCCAGGTGAGGATCCGTGCAGGTGAGGGTTCCAGGGCCTGTGGGCGAGAATTTCTTAGGAGTATCCAGTCCCCTGGCCTGATGCCGTGGGTACCGGGCCCCGAGGAAGGCCGTGGGAGGCTCCGATCAGGGTGTAAACGGAGCAAACTCAGAGGAAGGTGAAGAAAGGTAGGTGGCCCTGTGAGGGATGGGGTGGGGAAGGGGTGAATTGTCCAAGAGGAAGGGGTGACCTTTCGGAAATTCCAAGGGGCTGAGGGAGGATGGGGTGCGCGGGGCAGCCCTGGTGCTGGGGCAGGGCTGGAATAAGCAGCTTGGCGGCTCGGGCTCCAGGTACAGGGTCAGGAAGAACGGAGGAGCCAACCCCAGCGCTGAGTGGAGCAGAGACTGCTATGGAGCGCAGGGTACAAGGGCTGGTTTTTGGCCAAGCTGAGACCGGAACGGGTTGAGTGAAATGCAGGAGTAAGCTGTCTGGACTGACTAAGCAACAAGCGGGCTGCCTCCTAGTGTCCCCCCACACACACACCCGGGGCGCAGGCAGAGACAGGCGGGCGGCCTCATAGTGTCCCCCCACATACACCCGGGGCACAGGCAGAGACAGGCGGGCGACCTGCTAGTGAAAGACTACCGTTTTAGGCAACCTGGTCATTGTGGAGGTCTGGAGGGTCACATGTATTGCTATGTACCACCAGCTGACTCTTAAAACTATTAGCAAGAAGATCTGAGGTTTGTATCAAATATTCAATGGATGATTTTGCTGCAATATACAGATGTGGTCATGCTGTTTCTATGGGTTTTTTTATTCAGAATAGTCAGACCCTAGCCAGCTGAGATTCCCAGTCCTAATGGGCCATTTTGAAGTGGTCCCCACATTAAGAACTACATAAAAACACATTTTTCTTCACACCCATGAAATTAGGAAATCAAGGTTGCAAGATTTATTGCTAACAATATACAAAGCTTCTATTACCATAGGTGTAAGATTGCATTAAAAGAGATGCTATACACATCTAAATAGCCTTTTGTTAATGGCATAATAGACTGTTTTGTAGTCAATAGAAGTGGTTGAGTATAATTAAGGATTGAAATTCCATGTGAAAGATTGAGAAGTGACATAAAATGCACACTTTTTATTACTTCTTAAATCTTCTATGAACCCCCAAATCTGATTTTTATATCATAATGGGGGAAGACCAGCTAAATTATCAGAAACTTGTTCTTGTATACTGCTAATTCTTCCTGTCCTGGAAGAATGAGGACCATAAAAAAGAAAATAGATACTAAAATAAATTATTTTAATTCTATTTAAAGCAAGGCTACATTTAAAAATGTTTATTTTCTTTGACTTTAAAGTCAGAGAAAAAGAGAGAGAGAGAGAAAGAGAGAGAGAGAATCTTCCATCTGTTGGTTTACTGCCCAAATGCCCACAATAGTCAGGGATGGGTCAAACTGAAGCCAGGATCTCAGAACTCCAGCTGGGTCTGCCAAGTAGGTCCCAAGTGTCCAAGTCCTGGAGACATCATCTGCTGCCTCTCAGGATGCATTAGCAAGAGGCTGGTTCAGAAGCAGAGTAGCTGAGACTTGAACCAGCACTCTATAGTGCATTGTGGACTTCATAAGCAGTGGCTTAACCTACTGCACCACAATGCCCACACTTTAAATAAATTTTGAAAGAACAAACACAATGCAAAATTAGTAGGATGAAATAAATAATAACAACTAGAGAAGAAAAAAGCAAAATTGAAACAAAAATACAAAATATCAGAGAAATGAATAGCTGCTTTTTTGAAAAAAAATAAAATTGATAAACCATTGGCCCAACTAACCAAAAAAAGGAAGGGGAGCTCAAAATTAATATTATCAGTGATGATGAAAAAGTGATGAAAAACGAGAGGGTTCATCAGAAATAGTTAAACAGCTGTATGGAAACAAATTGGTAAATACAGAAGAAATGGACCGATTTCTGGACACATACAACTTACCAAAATTGATACATGAAGACATGGGAAATCTATATAGATCAATAACCAAGACAGAGATTGAATCAATAACAAAGGTCCTCCTAAAAAATAAAGCCCAGGGCTGGATGGCTCCACTGCTGAATTCTATCAAACTTTTAACAAACTAATCTCTATTTTTTCTAAACTACTCAAAACAATTGAGAGGGATGAAATTCCCCTAAACTCTTTCTATGAGGCCAGCATTATCTTAATTCCAAAGCCAGAAAAAGATACAACAAAAAGGAAAACTGTAGACCAATATCCCTGATGAACATAGATGCAAAAGTCCTCAACAAAATACTAATTAGTTGAATACAACAACACATCCAAAAGATCACCCATCTAGACCAAATGGGATTTAACCTAGGGAGGCAAGGATAGCTCAACGTTTATAAATCAATAAAAAATGATATATAATATTAACCAACTGAACAATAAAAACTACATGATTATCTCAATAGATGAAGAGAAAGCATTTTATAAAATACCACATGCTTTCATGATAAAAACCTTAAACAAATTGGATATAGAAGGAACATATCTCAATACAATCAAGGTAATACATGACAAACCAACAGCCAGCATCATACTGAATGGAGAAAACTGGAAGCATTTCCATTTAAGATCCAGAACCATACAAGGATGCCCACTCTCACCATTATTATAAGTACAGCCCTGGAAGTTTCAGCCAGAGTCATTAGTCAAGAAAAAGAAATTAAATGGATACAAATTGGGAAGAAGGAAGTCAAATTATCCCTACTTGTAGATAACATGATTCTAAATATAGGGAACCCAAAAGACTCCACTAAGAAACTATTGGAACTCATAAGAGAATTTGGTAAAGTTGCAGGATATAAAGCCAACACACAAAAATCAGCAGCATTTTTGTACACTAACAATGCTATGGTTGAGAAAGAACTTGTAAGATCAGTCCCATTCACAATAGCTACTAAAATTTTAAATACTTTGGGATAAATTTAAGCAAAGATGTGAAAAATATCTATGATTAAAAATTACAAAAGATTAAGGAAAGAAATAGAAGAAGACATAAAACAATGGAAAAATCTTTGATGCTTCTGGATTGAAATAATTAATGTCATCAAAATGTTGATACTACCCAAAGCAATTTAAAGATTCAGTGCAATTCCAATCAAAATATCCAGGACATTCTTCTCAGATCCAGAACAGAGATCCTGAAATTTATGTAGAAACATGAGAGATGCCAAATAACTAGGAAAACAAAGCCAGAGGTGTCACAATAGTGTATTTCAAGACATAGTACAGTGCTGTTTAAACAAAGCATCCTGGTACTAGCATAAAAATAGGCATGCTGACCAATGGAACAGAATAGACCCCCAGCAATTTATCCACACACCTTCAATCACCTAATCTTTGAAAAATGAGCTAAAAATCTTTCCCTGGAAAAGACAGTCTTGTCAACAAATGGCATTGGAAAAATTGGATCTCTGCATGCAGAACAGCAAGGAGACCAGTGTATCTGGAGTAGAGTGAGAAAGGGGAAATTGGCAGATGAATTTGGAAATATGTTGAGAGATACAAAATGTAGAGACTGAAAGGTCATTGTAAGAACTATGGATTGGGCCGGCGCCGCGGCTCACTAGGCTAATCCTCCGCCTTGCGGTGCCGGCACACCGGGTTCTAGTCCCGGTCGGGGTGCCAGATTCTGTCACGGTTGCCCCTCTTCCAGGCCAGCTCTCTGCTGTGGCCCGGGAAGGCAGTGGAGGATGGCCCAAATCCTTGGGCCCTGCACCCCATGGGAAACCAGGGTAAGTACCTGGCTCCTGCCATCGGATCAGTGTGGTGCGCCGGCCGCAGTGCACTGGCCACGGCGGCCATTGGAGGGTGAACCAACGGCAAAGGAAGACCTTTCTCTGTCTCTCTCTCACTGTCCCCTCTGCCTGTCAAAAAAAAAAAAAAAAACAAACAAACCTATGGATTGAATCCTGCATGCAATAGAGGAACTTTGGAAGGTTTTGAGGAGAAGATGGACATTAACTGATTTGTGTTTTAGAAGAAAACTCTTGACTATTGTGCAAAGACTATAGCATGGGAATGGGGTAGTGGAAGCAAGAGTGGAAATATTGTAAGAGTAGGAGCAGCTGGAATAATAAATGCTGATAATGGCAATTATTGGTGACTTTGACAGAAAAAGCTTGTTTTTTTAGATAGGTGGAGACAGATCTTTTGTGCAACTCAGTACCCACTGCTTCTTTCAGGATTTTGCATTGAGAGTCCTAAGAAGTTCATTCATCCAGCATAGCATTTTTAAAATCCTGGAAGTTACTCTGTACCAGGGACCATGAGTCTCACTACAGATAAAATAGATTAATGAGGCACTGAGCATGTAATTCATCACTCATTCAGAAACATAGACAAACAAAATGGTAAAATCATAACCTAATACAGAAAATTGATTTTTTGTTGTTGTTAGAATGAAACATACCTGATAGGTGTTCAATCATCTTCCGTGAGTGTTTAACCCAGCTGAAAACTGTCAGAGACTTAGGAAACACACCAAAACGTGTTCTTTTCTCCCTAGATTTTATAAGATACTTTAAAAAAGGAACCAAAACCATTAAATGATTTAACATGTAATAATCTAAAATTTGCAAAATGGTTTCTTGCTTTGCAATTATTGGCTATTGTACCACCCCATTCTTAAAATATCTGTATGAGGTTGTGAGCCAATTTTAATTTCCTGAAATGGAAGATAAACACTAGTAGGTAGAACAGTGTCTGGTATACAGTACATGCTGTATAAATGGCTTTTAAGTTGAGAGAGAAATAGAGAGCCAGAGAGAGAATATAAAAAAAAAATTCAATAAGTACCTCATATATAATCAGACTTTTAATATTAGTATTATTAGTGATTATTAAATTGTGAGTTAAACGTTAAGCGGCTTGGTTCACGTGATTTTTGAAAACCTCTGCAATAGGCCAGCGCTGCGGCTCACTAGGCTAATCCTCCCGGGTTCTAGTCCTGGTTGGGGCGCCGGATTCTGTCCCAGTTGCTCCTCTTCCAGTCCAGCTCTCTGCTGTGGCCCGGAAGTGCAGTGAAGGATGGCCCAGGTCCTTGGGCCCTGCACCTGCATGGGAGACCAGGAGGAAGCACCTGGTTCCTGGCTTTGGATCAGTGCAGTGCGCCAGCCATAGCGGACACTTGGGGGGTGAACCAACGGAAAAAGGAAGACCTTTCTCTCCCTCTCTCTCTCTCTCTCACTAACTACCTGTCCAAAAAAAGAAAGAAAGAAAGAAAGAAAGAAAGAAAGAAAGAAAGAAAGAAAGAAAGAAAAAGAAAACCTCTGCAATAAAATAAATCACAGTATTATAAATTCCCTGTTGGTGTAACAGACCTAAAACAATGTCTTGTATGTGGTTTTTTCCAAAAATGAACTTGGGGCCAGCAGAGCAGTGTAGTAGATAAAGCTGCCACCTGTAATTCCAGCATCCCATATGGGTATCAGTTTAAGTCCTGGCTGCTCCACTTCCAATTCAGAAGGCAGTGGCAGATGGCTCAAGTGCTTGGGCCCCTGCACTCACATGGAATACCTAGAAAGAACTGCCTGCTCCTGGCTTAGGGCTGGCCCAGCTCCAGCTGCTGCAGCCATCTGGGGAGTGAACCAGCTAATGGAAGATCTCACTCTGCCTCTCCATCTCTCTAACTCTGCCTTTTAAATAAATTATTTAATTAACATTTTTTAAAAAATGACATTAAATTTCTTTTGCTCTGATCCCAAGAAAAGGTGGGGGTATTTACTCTCCTCACATGGGATCTTGGCTCTGTAACTACTCACAGGATATGATGGTGTGGAAATAATGCTTCGAGCTCCTGCATCTTGGGGTGCTTGCTCTTCAAACCCAGACACTGTGCTCTAAGGAAGGCAGTCATGGAGAGGTCTCTGTGAAGAAGAGCAGACGCCAAGGTAAGTTGAGCCCTAATGTGGTCTCTTCTCTTCCCTACTGTGCATGTTCCCTACCACCTCTGCAAACAATCCTGAGAAAGTTGCTCTCTGAAACAGGTATTTCTCAACTTTTCCAAAGAACCAATAAAACCTAACAGCTGGTGTTTATACAGTGCTTACCTTCTAGAGAGCTCAGAACAATTTCCAGTGACAGACTCCAATCTTCCCCCGACATCTTCACGGTAACTGATACTAGTGCTGTTCCTCTTAACACCTTAAGAAGAAGATGGAGCCAAGGGACTTGGGATGGTTTGCTAAAATCATGCATTTAAAGCAGGGGTAGGGAGTGTCTGGCCCACAGGCCATAAACATCCCAGGAAATCACACGGTCTGGCCCTGTCCAGAAACTGGCAGGTGGGATTAGAAACTAAAAAAAAAAAATCTACAGCAGGCTAGTTTTCAAGTTGATAATTTTCTATGATCTGCAAATTGATATTATAAATATCCAAATGGCCCTGAGCAGCAAAAAGTTACCCCCCACCTCGATCTAACGGTCAGTACATGATCTCCTCACTCAGCTTACCTCTCTTCCATCAGGGTATGTTCACTGCATTCTAAGGTACTTTACAACAACTCACTGTTCTCCTAAATTTGCTCCATAAGCATGATAAGAATCACCTAGGACTGTTATCAAACAACTACTGACTCCAGTCATGGGCATTCTTACTGTGTGGTTAGTAAGTATTCCAGGTGACTTCCCCAATTTTTTCCCAAAATGTAACATTTCACAAGATTATCTTCATTAGGAGACTTTGTGAAGAAGTTTGTTCCATTTAGTTTTCACAGTAACTCATGGGATATTATGATACACATTTATCTAAAAGAAATATGCCATCAGCATATCCACATAGAAGTCTCAGATATGAAATCCTAAGGACTTTAGTTTTAAATCTCACAGACAAGTGAGAACAATTTTTAATTTCTACTATTTTAATTACAGTTTCTCATATAAATAATAAAAACCAAAGCTTTCCATCTAGGATTGGAGCTATACACATGATTTCTGCCTAGAACTGTACCACAGGAACTCCTATTACAGATTGATCAAAATACACTACTCTATTTTCAAAAAAAGGGGGGATTAAAGTTTAAGCCTACTTTTTACTTTAAGCCCAACTTGTATTTTGCTCCAGGCTAACTCCATTCTACTATTGTTGTTGCTATTGCTGTTTTCTTCTCTCTCTCTCTCTCTCCCTCTCCCTCTCCCTCTCCCTCTCCCTCTCCCTCTCCCTCTCCCTCTCCCTCTCAGCTCTCCCTCCCCACTTTTCTACCCTCATACTTTCTCTGCTTCCTTTCCTCTTTCTCTCTCTGACTATTCTTCCTGGTTCTGACCACTGACAGGACTCTACAATTCCCACCCATAGCCCTAAGGTGCTAATGCTGCCCAATTTCTGTTACTTTCAAGGAACATCAGCTTCACATGATCCTGGGGACCCAAAACACCAGGAGCTCCTCTTTCCCGTAGTTCCCATGGTTCCAGTCACCTGCACACTGTCAAGCTAGGGAGTAGCCCCAGGCTGAGCATGGCACTTACAAGCAATACTCCAATAGTGGAGAGTGAAACCAGTCAACTGTACAATCAGTCCACACTAGTTTAATAACTGGTGACACACAAATCTAGTAACTAGAGAAAGAGAGAGATGAAAGAAAGGCAGGAGAGAGAGAGAGAGAGAGAGAGAGAGAGACCTGATTTGTAGCATTTTCATGTTTCCATAGGATAAATACTCTCATGATTACTAATTCCAAGCTACCAAATACCTAACAACTAACAAAATAATCACAACAATCAACTCTCATTAGCTGATCAAAACAGACTAGCACACCACCTTATAAAATCCAACTTCCTCTCCAAAATTAATTTGCTTTCTCTAGATTGATGGAGATTAGAGAGACAGAAGAAAAGATAAAACATGGAGAAAAGACAATGTGACTAGGGAGACAGAGATTGGAGTGATGCAGCCACAAGTCAGAGAATGCTGGCAGTCACCAGAGGCTGGAAGAGCAGGGAACATATTTTCCCCTAGAGCCTTTGGATGGGGCTGACTTTAGACTTATGGCCCCAGGATGGTTATTTCAAGCCACCACATTTGTGCTAATCTGTCGCAGCAGCCACAGGAAATTCATACAAGTCCAGCCCCACAGTGTGTCTCTGTTCCTGCTATATCCCTGCACACTGTTCCTGCTCCTGTTCTGTGAGATCTCCATAATAGATCCTTCTCCAGCACACTAAGTGCATATGCTGTGCACTCTTCTTTGCATGACACATTCATGCGTAAATATGTTTTTATTATCTGTCATATGTCAGAAAGTGCCCAATGCCTTCCATACACAGCAGGGATACAATAGACTTTGATTCAGAGTGGAACTGAAAGTTGTGGAGGGAAGGAGATGAAAATGAGAAGAAGGCAGGATGAAATGGAATGTGAGTACACATGGACCTGCTGACCGAGCAGCACTGAAATGCTACGGGAGTGTTTGTCTCCTTAGCCAATGGTCTGCTCAACTGTATGTGCATAGGAGACAGGTGGGAAGAAATCTCAACCCCTATCACACACGGTTCTCACAAATCAATTACAAAGAGACAGCAGATAAAAATGTGAAACACAAAGCAATAAGGCTCTTAGACAACTTCATAATTAAACTTCTTCATAGTTGGGAGTAGGCAAAGAATTCTTAAATATGTTACAAAATGTACTAGCCAAAAAAGAAAAATAATAAGAATAAGAACTTCTACTCATCCATACATTATTAATAGGGTCAAAGATAGCCTACAAACAGTATAGGAGAAAATATTTTAATAAGAAGGAGACAACTGTGGCTGACACCATGACATAGAGGGCTAAGCCTCCACCTACAGTGCCAGCATTCCATATGGGCACAGGTTTGGGTCCCAGCTGCTCCTCTTCCTATCTAGCTCCTGCTAATGGCCTAGGAAAGCAGTAGAAGATGGCCTAAGTGCTTAGGTCCCTGCACCCATGTGGGAGACCCTGAAGAATCTCCTGGCTCCTAACTTAACAGCCTGGCTTTGGATAGGCCCATCTCTGGCTGTTGTGGCCATTTGGAGAGTGAACCAGTATATGGAAGATCTTTTTCTTTGTCTCTCCCTCTCTCTATCTGTAATTCTATCTCTCAAATAAATAAACTAAAAATATTTTCAAAACAAGCAGACAACTAAAAAATGTGCAAAACACCTGAACAGACATCTTACAAAGAAAAAGTTGCAAACACAAATGAGCATGCTAACAAGTTCTCAACTCATGAGACCCCAGTGTAAAGAAGGGGCCATCGAAAAAAGATGTACTTTTCTCTTACGGAAGGAGAGAATTTCCACTTTGCTTATGGCCTTGTCTAAATACTGAAGGAGTTTGTGGTCATAAAAGTCTTTCATAGCCTTGGCAGTTCATGACAAAAGCCTTGGGTGATCACTGAGGTAATAAATAAGAGTGTTTATTGTTAAATTAGCAACAGGAGTCACTGTGTACTTACTCCCCATGTAGAACCACCATCCTTAATGAGTTATACTGTGAGAATTAACTGAAAAACTTGTTCCCAAACAGTACTACAGTACTTTTTACATTGTGTGTGTGTGTATGTGCAAACTGTTGAAATCCTTACTTAGTACAGAGCTGGTCTTCTGTATATAAAATTGATTAAAAATGAATCTTAAATAAGAATGGGATGGAAGAGGGAGTAGGAGGTTGGACAGGAGTGTGGGAGGGAAGGTGGGTATGAGGGAAAAAACACTATATTCCTAAAATTGTACCTCTGAAAATTGTATTCATTAAATAAAAACTTTTTAAAAACTTTTCAAACTCACTAATCATCGGGGAAAAGAAAACTAAAAGCACAATGATATACCATCACATATTTCTCATGGCATCACACTGTCCCTCTAGAGACAAAAGTGTGTGCTATGGGTAAGAGCCATCCAGAGCATGCTTCAAGGTTCAGACCCAATGCTTTCTTTAGCTCTTTTTCTACCTCATTGCATCATTCTTCCAAAATTAACAGGACAGTTCCACCAAAGAAGGTACTGAGGATATAGCAGCCAATAATATAGACATGATTTTTGTCTTTATGGAGCTTAATGAAAAATGTAGCTAGTCAAAAAATGAAAACAACTCTAACTACATAGTTATAAGTGCTCTATGCTATAATTCAAAATACTAGTTACTGTGAGAGTTATGGGGAAAGGTTGAACCCGCTTAATCTAGAAAGGTAGTCAGCAGAGAGCTTAGGTGGAATGCTATTTAAACTGAGAGATGCAGGTAAGAGCAGGAAGGAAAATCCCTCCAGGTAGAAGTGATAGCATAAGGCATGGGATTAAAGTAACAAAAATAGCAGTAGGGGAGTGTCAATAAGGAGTTAGGTGCAGGTGGGAAGAGCTGAAGCTGCATCAGGTGGGGATAAAAGAGGGGATCATTAAGATTTTGCAGATTATTTCTGCATTTTATGTCAAGTTCAGTGGAAGCCATTGTAGGTCTTTAAGCATGACACTAACATACAATCTGCTCTCTGTATGCATCCGTAAGTTCAGTATCTGCAGATTCAGCCAGCCATAGATCAAATATGACTTTTTAAAGAAAATTGCATCTGCACTGAATATGTTCATACCCTTTTTTCTCAGTATTATTTTCTAAACAGTACTCTATAACAAACATTTACATTGAATTTGCTGAGCATTAGGTATTACAAATAATCAAGAGCAGACTTAAAGCATATAGGAGAAAACACATAGGTTTTATGCAAATACTACAGCACTATTTCATATGAGGGGCTTGACTGTCAGGGGATCCTAGTAACTGCAGGGTTCCTGGGTTAACCCTGTGCACACAGAAGAATTACTGCAATCCAATTTACTCTTTTTTTTTGACAGGCAGAGTGGACAGTGAGAGAGAGAGACAGAGAGAAAGGTCTTCCTTTGCCATTGGTTCACCCTCCAATGGCCGCCGCGGCTGGTGCACTGCACTGATCCGAATCCAGGAGCCAGGTGCTTCTCTTGGTCTCCCATGAGGGTGCAGGGCCCAAGCACTTGGGCCATCCTCTACTGCACTCCCAGGCCAGAGCAGAGAGCTGAACTGGAAGAGGCACAACTGGGACAGAATCCGGCACCCCGAACGGGACTAGAACCCGGTGTTCCTGTGCCGCAAGGCAGAGGATTAGCCTAGTGAGCCGCGGAGCCGGCCCCAATTTAGTCTTAAACATAAAATCCTTGTGAAGGCTGTGCAGACAATAGGCTGAAGGCATCAAGAGTGGAGACTTGGTGGCCAACTAGGAAGATATTGCCATCACTCAAGTGGGAGCTGAGAGCGTGCCCCCGATATGTAGGTTGACCCAGAAGATGAAGAAATGGATGAGTCAAACTATCTTAGGGACTGATTCCATCAATTTGGGTAGAAGCCTTATGAGAAGAGGGGTTTACATTTTCAGGTTCACAGAACAGAGTCAGTTCAATGAAGAGATCTTCCCAGTAGTGTATAGGATTAGACTTTATTTAGGCACTGCAGACACTAGCCACTTCTCTCCCCGCAAGAACTTCTGAATTCTTTCCTTTATTTGGGAAAATGTGAGGTTAAAACTCTAGCTTTAGATTGTTGGGTAGATTTGTTTTCTAGCTCTTACAAAATTTCTGAGACAATTCCAGAAGCAACTTCAGAAACACTCCAGTGTTGAATATGTGTACAAATATATTACCTGAATATATGCTGTCAGGGTTAAATTCAGTTTCCTTCCCAGTGTGACAATTCTGCAAAAGCCTTGAAAAATCACTTCTAACCTTCTTCTTTGAGGCCTCTGTGCCGAGAATCCACTAGAACCCACCTTATCTACCTTACATGAACTGCAGGAAAAACTTACTTAGACTACAACTGAGGAGGCTGTTAAAAGACAGCTTCACAGGACATTGACAGTGCCCCTGCTCCTACAGGGCAGTCCTGCAAGGCGCTGTTGGGAAGAGCATTGCTGTGTGTTCTGGATGGGACAGCTGTCTACAGATCCAGATGGAGTGTGATGTCACTGGAAAAAAAAAAACAACCCTGAAATGTGCTACAAGGGGCTTTTTTATGGCTCCCTGTGTAAAGTTCCCTAATGCTGGGCTTTAGGCAGAGAGAAAAAGGAAGTAAAAGATTTTACAACTCCCCACAGCCCTGCCCATCTGTCATTTGGGTTCACAAGGAAGGGAAGGGCTAGAGGAAGAGACTTGATTAGACAGGAAGAGAAAAAAGGCAGAAGGACAAAGAGAATTGGGAATGAATGTGCTCCCTCCAAGCTGCCTCCATGGCTTGTCCAAGGGGACTTCTCTGCACTTGGGAGCAGCTCTTTGGTTTCACTAGATCATCTGAGAGCAGAACCTAAAGCAATGTCCACTACATAATAGATGTGCAACAAATGCTAAGAGAATGGAATTATTAAAGAGCATAGTAGCAAGATTCAAGAAAGAAAAGAGAAATCAAAAATTGGGAGTTTTATATGTGTCACATATTGTAAAAGATACTTTTGATATGTTTTCCATGTTACCATTGTTTAAGGTGGAAGTTGCTCACACCTTTTTGACAAAAGATAAAACTGAAGCTTGGAGGAAATAAACATTGTGCCCAAGATCTGGCTGCAAGCACAAGACTGTTCGAGCTCAGATCTGACCACAAAGAAATCCTGCATAGTACAGCCTGGGCTACTCCACAAACTACTGCTCCCTACTGTTCCCCACCTCAAGCATAAAGCACAGATAAAGAGTGGGACACATGTGGGAAGAAGAGATTTGAGAATGTGAATCCCAGCTCATCTTCTCTAGTAACTATCAAAACAATCTTTAGAGCCAGTAGGAAAATGTGTTCAGCAAAATTTCTGCCTGGGTTCAGCACAAAGTCAAGAATTCCACAGCATTTTTCCAGGTACGATCAAGGGATATGGTCAGTCTGGAAAGTGAGACAGGCACACTTTCCTTCTATAGACATTTTACTGGCATGGTGCAGGGGACTGCCAACCCAAAGAGGGGGTGCTAACAGACATTTTCTCAAACACAAACATGCCACATCATGTCTCCCATGCGATTATTTATGTAATAAAAGTATCACCTAGCATCAGACTTATGTATAGAGGGGGGCTATTTCTACTTGGAAATATATCTTCCTCTCTGGAATTGAAGGCAAGCTGTTGAGGGACTACGCATCTTTAGAGCCAAAATTTCATTGAAAATTATACAATTATTCTGCATTGGATGAGAGGGAGGTGGAAAGTGAAAATAAGCAAAGGAGGAAGGAGAAAACAGGTGCTTAATGGAAGAAATACCAAGAAAAGTACACTTGTGTATGGGTGAGGGGTGGAGGGCAAAAAAAAAAAAAAAAAAACACAAGAAGTACAATATAGAATGGAATGGTTCAGATGTATTTTGAATTATTTTCTTTATTTTGTGTAATAGGATCTTTCCAGAGACACCTGCCTTTTTCCAAGCTCTCAAGAAACATTTGCTACACTCACGAATACTTTGTGTAAGTTACAATTCTTTGTTGTTTACCTATTTGAAAGGCAGAGAGAGAGAGAGAGAAAGAGAGAGAGAGAGAGATTTTATGTGTTGGTTCATTCTCCAAAGTCCTACAACAGCCAGGACTGGACCAAGCCAAAGCCAGGGGGCTTGGAACTCCTCCCAGGTCCCCCAGGTGAGTGGCAGGGGTCCAAGCACTGGGATTGTCTTCTGCTTTCCCGGGCCTCTTAACAGGGAGCTAGAATGGAAGTGGAGCAGCCAGGACTCCAAACAGCTTAATCCACTGTGCCACAACACTGGCCACCCTGTGATGATTTCTTTAAATGAGCAGATACCCATGTAGCACCACAAGGACTATGAAAAATCTGATACATACAAGACAGAAGAAACTAAATAAAACTCCGAAGACCAACCGTAAGTAATGGGGAATCTATGAACTGCTTGGCAAAGAATTCAAAATAATCACCTCAAGGAGCCTAAATGTTAACCAGCAAATGAGCGGATAAAGAAAATATATAGTATGTGTGTGTGTGTGTCTGTGTGTGCGTGTGTGTGTGTATGTGTGCACATGTGCACAATTGAGTTTTATTCAGCCATGGGAGGAAATCTGCCATGTGCTACAAATTGAATAAACCTGGAGGATATTATGCTAAGTGAAATAAACTATACACACAAAGACACATAGCACATGATGCCATTTATGTGGTAAGCCTAAGGTAGCCAAATTCATAGAAACAGAACAGGATAGTGGTGTGTCCAAAGGCTGGGGTAGAGAAATGGAAAGTTATTAGTCAGGAGTTAAAGCGTCACAAAGTTCCTAAATCTGTATGTATGTAATTCATGATGTTTGTATAACTTAAATAGAACAAAAGCTTTTTTTTTTCTTGGACAAGATGCATCATATAGACCTGTTGTATAGTGTTGTGCCTATATATAACAGTGTGCCATAAGCCTTAAAACAATTACTAAGAGGGTAAATCTAACATTAAATGTTCTCATCACATACTCAAAAATAAAGGCATAAAATAGAAAGTGGGGGAAAATTTTGGAGGTGATAGGTTTATGGTATAGATTGTGATGATAATTCCACATGTGCATACTGATCTTCAAATTCAACTTGCTCATTAAATATTCACAGTTTTTATGTCACTCATACCCAAAATGGATTTAACAAATGAATATCATCTATAAAACAAAAAAAAATAAAATCATAAATGTTTAATAAAATGGGTTTATCAAAATTTAAAAATAAATACTTTACTGTAAAATTAACATTAACAAAAGAGCAAGTCGCATATTGGGAGAAAATGTTGGCAATCAGCATAACTAACAAAAGACTGTTATCTATACTATACAGAAACCAAAAAATATTTGTAAAAAGACACTTTAACAAAAATGGCTAAAAACTAAAGACTGAACCAATGCTTACTCAACAAAGATGTACAAATGTCCATAAGTACATGCAAAGACGCTCAACGTTATTGGTCACCAAGGAAAGGACAATTAAAATCACCAGCAAAGAAGATTTCAGGGATGGAAAATATCAAGCACTGGTGAAGATGTGGAACAACTGGAACTCTCACAGTCTTTGTGAGTACATGAAATCACATATTCAGTTTGGAAAACCTGGCACTCTCTCTACACACCTACTACCCTATGATCAAACAACTACTATTAGATGGTTTTACCAAGAGAAATTAGATGCTGTGTCCATAGGAAGATATGTGCAAGATATTCATGGTAGCTTTATATGAATAACCCCAAATGGGAAACAACTCAAAGGTCCATCAATTCATGAGTAGAAAAACAAGTAATATTATGCAGCAATAAGAAACAAACTACTGATTCAAGATGCAACAAGAACATGAGGTGAAGCATGAGAAGGCAAATGTGTAAGAATTGATACTGCTTGAATTCATAAATTTAGCTACAGTTCTAGAATAGGCAGGAACTAAGCTATGATTAAAGAGATTAGATTGGTGGTTATCTTGGGGTGAGGCATGACTATAGAAGGGCACGTTGAAACTTTTTGTGGTGATTAAAGTCTTCTCCATCATGATTTAAGGTGTGAATTACATGTCTGTAGACACTGGATGTATTTGTCTACACTTATTGAAATGCATACCACGAATCTGCACTTAATGTATATTAATTATATTTTTAAAAATAAAATTGCAATAATACCATAAATAATGATGAAGGTAGAAGAAAGTGTATGAACATAGATAAATACATATGATAGCAGTACATTTAACAGTGCAACAAAACTTGGTATCTCTGCCATGATGAATGTGCAGAGGAGTTTCTACTTACTAGTTCCTGAATTTTCATTTGGTGGAGGGTTAATCTTGTGATTATAAAGAAATTTGAAATAAAAAAAAACTAAAAGAAAAATAATAAAAGTGAGAGAATGGGAATGAGAAAGGAAGGAAGGGTAGGGTGAGAAATATCATTATGCTCTTAAAACTTTATATATATGAAATTTGTTCCCTTTTTATACATAAAAAATTTAAAAAGAAGCTCCTAGCACAGCCATTTGGGTAGTGAAACAGTGATGTTAATTTAACAAAAGGTGATAATCCCATTGGTTTGTGGAAAAGGGGAAAATGTACTTATTGATCTATTTTTCCCACATGGCTGAGCTGATCTGAAGCCAGGAGGCAGGAGCTTCTTCCAGGTCTCCCAAGCAGGTGCGGACTCCCAAGGACTTGGGCCATCTTCTATGCTTTCCCAGGCCATAGCAGAGAGCTGGATGAGAAGTGGAGCAGCCAGTTCTTGAACTGGTGCCCAAATGGGGTGCTGGCACTGCAGTAGTGGCTTTACCCACTGTGCCACCGCCTGGCCCCACATCATTCACTCTTAAGGTCATCTCTGGGTGCCTGTAATTTCCTTACTCTTCATCTGGATTCAGTTTTTGTAAGGACTTTGGTCATGAGTGTGGATGAATGTTGGATGGAAGTATCATTCAGACATGTAGAAGAAGACATCATTGTCAATCATAGGAGGGAAGGTCATCAATAGGAGGGAAGAATCATCTCACCGCATCTTGTCTCGTTATCTGTGGCTCACTGTATTTTGCCAGAGTGTGTTAACATTTTCACAGTGCATGCACTCCCAGCCTGCCTGGCACTGATTGTCCTCTGAATTACCACAATAGGGGCAGATGGTCTTTGGGCCCAAGAAAAGTAGAATATGTGTCTGTCTGTCATGTACCCACATGTATCCTGTTTATCCTATAATAGATGTTCCTTGCCTGTCCCTCAAAATTTACATTATTGCTATGTGAAAAGCTTCAACTTTATTGAATTTCAAGTCTCACCTGTGGCTGCCTTGCCTGATCAGATGACCCCACCCATGTTCAATATGTTCTCATATTGATTTTGTATACATATGAAAGCATGAATATTTCATTTTGGAGTAAACTAATGTTAGTAGTAATGTGTTCTTAATTTCAAAAGTCAGCTGTTCATTGCTGATATATAGGAAATCAATTTATATTTATATATTAATCTTGTATTTTTGCTGTAATTATTTATGAAGAGTTCCATACTTTCATATTTTCTACATAGGCAATCATTTTATCTGTTAATGACAGTTTTATTTCTTCTTTCCAATTGGTATATCTTTTATTTTGTTTCTTCTTGTCTCACTGTGTTAGCTAAGTCATTGAATATGATTTTGAAAAGGAGTGATGAGAGGTAACATCCTGATATTGTTCTAAAAAACTTTGTGTATTCACTTAAAATTTTCTAATGATTGTCCTAGAGCTTGAAATATATGCTTAAAACTACTTCAAATCTAGTCAAATGATAATATGCAATTTTATTGCAGTATAAGCACCTTGTAACAGTAAACTATTCCTAATTCCTCCCTCCTATCCCTTGTGGTGTTGTTGACTTTCAGACACACACAATTAAATACATTGGTACGGTTATTATTTTAAACAAACTCTTAACTGTTAGATGAAATGAAAAGTTACAAAATACAGGGCTTTTCATTTTGCTTTCAGTTGTGAACTGCCTGATTCCTCTTTCCCTGTTTATATGGCTTTAAGTTTATGAACTATATCATTTTCCCTCTTTAGAATTTCCTTTTACATTTCTTGAAAGATAGGTCTGTTGTCCAAAAATTTCCAAAACTTTTGTTTGTTCATGAAATTCTTCATTAATTTTTGAAAGATGATTTCACAGGGTATAAAATTCTAAGTAGGTGGATTTTTTTCTTTCAAATCTTTAAATAGTTTACTCCACTATATTCTTGCATGGTTTCTGGGAAGGAAAATGTAATTTTTATCTTTATAAGTAAGATTTTTTCTCTAACATGTATTAATATTGTTTCTACATCTTTGGTTTTGCAGTTGGAGTAAGATATGTTTAGGTATAGAGAAGTTTTGGGCACATACTCCACTTAGCGGTCTATGAGCTTCTTGGATCTGTGGTTTGGTGTTTGACATTAATCTAGGAAAATGATCGGTTACTATTGCTTCAAGCATGGCTTCTGAACTTTCATAGTCTTCCTGACACATCACTATGCATTTGCTGCTCCTTTTGTATTTGCACCCCAATGCTCGGGAGTGGCTTTCCCACTGTTTGTCAGCTTGGGAGGTTTCTATTGTCATAGCCTGCAGCTCAGAGATTCTTTCTCCATTCTTTCTTCAGCCATGTCCAATTTACTTATAGTAATACCATCAAAAATAGCCTTCATTTTTATTATAAAGTTTTAAATCCTAGCAATTTTTTGACAGGTAAAGATATGGACAGAGAGAGAGACAGAGAGAAAGGTCTTTCTTCAGTTGGTTCACCTCCTAAATGGCTGCCACAGTCGGAGCTACGCCAATCCGAAGCCAGGAACCAGGTGCTTCCTCCTGGTCTTCCATGCGGGTGCAGGGCCCAAGCACTTGGGCCATCCTCCAGTGCCTTCCTGGACCACAGCAGAGAGCTGGACTGAAAGAGGAGCAATCAGGACTAGAACCTGGCTCCCATATGGGATGCTGGCACCGCAGGTGGA